TAAATAATATTATTAAATATATTAAATAATAATATATTAAATAAATATATTAATTAAACATATATAATACAAAAACGGTTTCAGAAAAGAGGGAAGAAAATGAAAAAGAAAAAAAAAAGTGAAATCCGTTTTTCAGAAAACAGAAAACGAAAACAAGAAAATGAAAACACCTTTTTTTCGTTTTCTGATTTCCACAAAAAGACAAAAACGTTTTTGGTTTTGTTTTTTAAAAAAAATTGCACCAAACACGTTTTTAACACCCGTTTTCATTTTTTTGCTTTGAAAACCGTGAAAAACGAAAACGAAAACGCAAACAAACGGGCCCTTAATTCCAAGTTTCCAACTTTTCCAATCTACCAAAACGAATGTTCTTAGTTGCTTCGTTTCTTTTACTATAGCTTATAATTGAAATTTCGTAAGAATTGACTACTTTAATTTTCTGTTTTTGTAGCTTTGTCGTTGTCGTTGTGTATTTTGTCTCCCGCGATCTCGGAGCCGCCTCAAAAACTCCGAATCTGCCTATGGCCTAATGTGCGGATCCAACTCCAAATTTCAATACGTGACGGTGGAGTCATCCTGTTTGGTTCGTTAATTTAAGTTTTTAATTCGAGTTGAGATATGATGTTGTGTGAGAGCTTTTTACTGTAACAAAAAAGTTAGATGTGACTGTTTTTTAGAGTTTTTTATTATAATAAAACTCGAATTCTAAACTCGAATCAACGAAAAGAACAGTAACTGAATAGAATTGTTTCGCAATTTGATTTTTGTTTCTTCCACAAGTAAAAGAAATAAGTATTTAAAACATGACTTTAGTAGCCTTTCTACTTGAAAGTGTTTTTTTCTTAATGGGTTAATCCTACAAATAGTTTTTGAGCTTCGATCTCAATCTCACTTTAGTTTCTGATTTTTAAAACGTCTCACAGTTAATTGTTGAGATTTTATTATGTTTCAATTTTAGTTCTTTCATTAGCTAGATATTAAATATCTAACAGAATATGTGAAAATTAAGGACAAAAATTGGAAACATATAAAGTTTAGAGACTAAAACAATATAAAAAATAAAAATTAATTATCACGTATAGTCTCTAAACTTTAGGTATTTCCACTTTTGCTCCCTAATTTACATATATTTCACCAAATATTTAGCATTTAGTTAATGGAAGGACAAAAATCAAAATGGAGTAAAACCTTAGAGACCTATTATGGGACATTTTAAAAGTCAGGAGTCAAAGTGGAATTGAGGGTGTCGATGTCTAATGCGACTCAACACCCACGTGTGAAAGCGCACAGTGTTCGAACTTCAATCTTAGCCTTTTCCCAGTCGGTGCTCCGATCTTTACCCGGATTCGGGTGTGCTTGCCTCGCACAGGAGATGGAATAACCTTGAAGAGAGGAGACGCCGGTGAGCCGGCCAAAGGCACTCCGACACTCAATTCAGTCGTGCTTTTTGAGAGCAATAAATGGAGTGGTAAGAGTTAGGCGGATAAATTGTCCTTACCTTAATAAATTATCATGAGGGTATTTATAGTTTGTTGTTGGCTGAGATTTGACCCACAACCCATCGAGGGTCCACAAATATGGCTATATGGGCCTGTCAAATAACGTGACACCTATTATCAATCAATAACTTTCATATCATGTCCATTCAATAGTGGAGATACTCCCAGTTGTGGCTAGACCCATACGGTGTGAAATCTCTTAAGCTTAGGGGTGTTCGGCCTCAAGCTGCCATGGGCACATACTGATCCTGCCGCGACAATAAATGGTGCCCGGGAGTGTCTCGAACAAGAGCTGGAGCTCTCCTGATTTGTTCAACATATATGGGGAGAATCATCAGAATAAGTGTACCTATTCAACATACGTTCGTCCAAACAGTACTCAGCATGACACGCCGACCATACCCCAACAGATAATAAACCTCAAAACTATTTGTGAGATTAATCCTTTCCTAGTTTAAAAGCAAATTAAAGTTGTTAATGTTCATGCAAAAACTAAAAAGTTGTTGACATGACCCATGTCTTAAGCGCGGGTACATTTCTCTAGCTGAAATGAGAAATTAGCATTAAAATCTTTCCTCAATTCCTCATTGTTTTTGCTGCAATATGATGTCCTTTTGCTATATACACACACACGCATAGCTGCAAACCACTAATTTATTTTGTAGGAGTTTATCTGTTAGGACTAGAAAAAATGAATTACCAATAGTTATTTATTTTTTAACTTTTAAATTTGTATAAAAAACTGTATATTCTATATACTTTTTAGATTTGATGTGATTTTGACTAAAAAAAAAAACTGACACTACCACTGGAGTGGCCTACCGGAGAAAGTCCCTTATTTTGTGTGAAACTTCTGATAAAAGTTCAGAATTATACATTTTTGTTACATTTTCTTAGGGAAACAATTTTGTTACAATTAATGCATATGAATCCTTACAAGTATGGGCATTACCGTCATCAGGCATCACATAAGTACTAAACGAATCTAGACAATTTTGCATATTGAGGAGTGGTCTAACCAAAGAATTGGTTGATGAAAATACATATAATACATATATGATCTCTTATATGTATTAACGTTGGTTGGTTATGTTGGAGTGGCAAATCCTTCTTCGGAGTCACCCAAAACCCTGTTCAAAATCATGGCCAATCGTACTCCACCCTGAGCTATGCGTTTCATTAGAATTGGCATCCTCGAATTAAAGTAATCATCTGTAAACAAACCAACACAAGATTTGCACTTAGAACTCAACACCTTCTTTTTGTTTTCAAGTGATCACCGGTTTTTGTGAGCGTTTCAGGTCAAATATGAGATTAGGGACAAAAATAAACAAATATATCGTATTACTCTATATATTCATATCATAACTCTGAAACAAATTGGAGCCACGTTGAGCTTGTTTGGCCCAGTACGAAGCCCAACATTTTTTTTTCACAGGTCTTGCCCAGTCCAAACTCCCGACCCGGCCCATTTAACATTTTTTTAAAAAAATTAAATAAAAAATAAAAAAATTTATTTACACCCTAAAATTTTATTAAGGCACCTAAAGTATTTAAAATATAAATTTATTTAATTTTTAATATGAAAAGCTCACATAATTTCATACCCTTGTATAATACACCCCATATTTTTCACGTTTCATTCTTTCTTAAAAAATTAAGGGCGCGTTTTAAACTTGTTTTAAAATAATTTTTTTTGTATGAAAATAAAAATAAAACGTTTTTAATTTCAGATATAAATTATTTTTAAAAATGTGTTTTGTAATTTTATCAAGAAATTATTTTCAGTGTAAAAAATTTCATTAATGTTTCTCTTTCTCTCTCTGCAAGAAAGATGAGAAAACGAAAATAAAAAAATGAAAAACACTAAAAGTTATTTTTTATTTATCTCTTATTTTACACTAAATCAAAAAATTATTTTTATTTTTATTTTTTATCTTTATTGCGCTAAACGTCGTTTTAAAAACGTTTTTATTTTTTTTTTCCTCAAAAAATGTGAAAAATAAAAACGAAATCAATTCCAAACAGACCTAAGTTCTTTTTTTCTTTTTGGTTAAGATCTTTCAATATGACTTTTTCTTTTCCTTTTTTTTTTGGCTCATTTTCATCTAAATATTTTTCTCGGGTGTGGATTTAGGAGGGCTAATTGGTTTCCAAATGAAGAAACGCTTGCTTCCCCCGAAGGCTGCAGAGGAATTGTATCAAGGAAAAAAACGCTTGAGGAAATCCGATCCAACAGTCGAATTTCTAAAAGAAAAAACTTAAACTTGAGAATCGAAAATATTTTCAGTGAGTATCTCTGGCTGCTTCTTCTTTATTCTGGAGAATCAAAATTTTTTTATTCATTTTCATTTGAAAGAAGAGAAAAGGTTGAGTGTGTATATAAGGGTATTTACGGACTTATGTGGGCTTTAAATATTACAAATAAAATAAATTAAAAAATTTTAGGATGCTTTAATAAAATCTTGAAGTGTCAATAAAATATCCCATAAAAACTCCATTATATGAATAAAAAATAATAATAACACTTAATTATATGAATGAAATAAATAGTAGAACTCACAAAATTATGGTCAATATGTAGTTAGTAAAAGCCCCCACATGTGAGCTGTTATATGTCATACGGAAAGCCTTTGTCTCTTGTGGCGGGCCAAGTAACGTCATTATAATCAATAGGTTTAGGGCCGTTTAGTTCGCCGATTCGAGTTTTTAATTCGAATTGAGATGTGATTTTATGTGAGAGCTTTTTACTGTAGCAAAAAAGTTAGATATGACTGTTTGTGAGAGCTTTTTACTGAAGCAAAACTAGAATTCTAAACTCGAATCAGCGAAATGAATGGAATCTTAGATTACATCTAGTTAATCGAGGCATAATTGCATCATGTAATTATAAAAGGTAACAAAATTAGCATGACATGATAATCTTTCATTTAAATTTAGTTTCTTTTTTTTTTTTTTTGGACAGAAAGTTCCGCTTAAATTAGTTATCTCATAAGCAAAATATGGGTTAGTATATGTGTTCGTTTAAATTTGTAAATGTCTTTGCAATATATACCTGCAAGAGTTTCGCCAGGATCAACACCTTTATATCCCCATTTGCAAGCTATGTCTATGCTCTCAACAGCATATCTAGTAATAATTATAAAAAAAAAAAAAAAAGAAAGCAATCAAGAAAATGTAAGAACTAATATGTATGATAATGCCGTTAATGCCTGAGGCAAAGAGAGATCATAAAGCAAAAAAATAAAAAAATAAAGATAAAAATAAATTAAAAAAAGAAGAGAGAGAGAGAGAGAGAGAGAGAGAGAGAGAGATCAGAAGAGATATTCGGAGAATACTAACTTGTTTATGCAAGAAGCAAGATCATCACAATGTCTCCAGGATGAAACGTCATCTGACCAGATTCCCTATGATCCATAATTAATTTAATTAATCTAGTTTCTTTTACGTGTGTGTGTGTGTGTACATACATACATCTATACATCTACATGTGTGTGTATCAGTGTAGGATGAACTATATACCACAGAAACTGGTCTTACATCTGTAAAGTTTCCTTCAATGTCTTGCAGCAGAAGGTCCAAATCCTTGTTGTAATAATCTGCTAGAGCTGTCAGTAAAATCTCCCTATCCCATACCTTTTCATTTCAATATTATAAGCGATCAGTCATTAACAAATGAAAAAAAAAAAAAAAAAAGCTCACACACACACACACACATATATATATATGGTTTGTCTATATATATATATATTATGTGTGTATATATATCACAAGGTTGTTAGGAGAGGTTAAAAGGAGAGAGGTGAACTACATGGTGCAAATTTGATTTGTGCCTGAACCAGCGTAAGTTGACGGTGTTTCCCCCTTCATCGGTTGTGAATCCAACGTGCATTGGCTAAGAAAAGCAAGAAGAAAAATCATAGAAATCTCAATATGCATACGTTAAAAAATTTTCTAACGAGGAAAAGAAAAATTAGTAGGAAATTAACGCTTTCATACCTGGTGAATATCTCCCATGAAGTGAGATAGGAACAACAAGGCCTCAGTCATATTATCTGCAAGTTTTTTTTTTTTTTTTTTTCAACATAAATTAAGTTTAGCCACAAAAGTCTATTGAGGAGTCCAACTAGTTGAAAAATTTTGACTAGGCTTGTCACGCTTTCTTACATCGGCGGTCGGAGGTCCCCTCTCGATAATGCGAAAGCTGAGAGGTGAAATTCTGGATTGCACCAGCAACACACATGTCCTCCAAACCGTGTGGATCATGGCAGTCCCCTAAACCACGTGAGAAACATTCAAATTAAGTTCTATTATCCAAATTAGCACCGGTGATTGCGATTAGTTCGATAGTAATTTACTAATTTTCAGGCACAAATTTTTAGCATGAGTTGCTTACTGGAATAATCGAAGCTACAAGCATTGTCCGGAGTGTCAATGAAGTGAAGAGAGCTAGTCCATCGGTATCGGTACCAATGGCGGATTTGGTCAGGCCACACGCAAAGCGCCGACAAGTCGCCTTTCACATAGTGAGGTAATAGATTTTCAACTGCTTCTCCAGCCTCTGGCTCTAGCAGTGCCTGCTCAAATGTTATTTGATTTTGCAGCAATTAGTTCATTTATGTTCTTTAATGTGTCCTTTTGCAGTTATCAGGCTTAATGAATCTGGATTTTGGTTAATTTGTTTGGTCAAGTGATCCCGTGCAAGTTAAAAATGATGTTAAAAAAATAGAAAAAAAAATTAAAAATAAAAAACCAGCTTTTAACCGGTTAATATAGCCCTATACATCTCTGTTGCTTGGTACCGTGATTTCTCCTCTTCTAATCAATTTCATCAATCTCGTAGTCATGTTAAATAACAAAAATATCCCTGGAAAGGAAACTAACCCCACGATCTAATCTGTTGCGAGTATGCAAGTCTTTATAAGACGTGTATTCTTATGATTACCTTAAAGTTGCAATTCTACATGATACATCAATTTAACTTGTTCATCATCATTTTAAAGTTGCAATTCTACATGATACATCAATTTAACTTGTTCATCATCATTTTAAAGTTGCAATTCTACATGATACATCAATTTAACTTGTTCATCATCATTTTAAAGTTGCAATTCTACATGATACATCAATTTAACTTGTTCATCATCATTTGACTTCACAAGCAAAAAAATGCAAGAAAATATGTGGGACCACTAGAACAAAGCTATAGAAACGACGTCTACTTTCCAGGGGAAATGGAATAAACTATACCTGGGCAATACGACATGTCATAATATGACCCTCTTTACTCCAGCCCTGAGCCCTTGGAACCATAATAGAAGCAAAACCCAGCAGCCAAAGAGCCCCAAAAGGAACTAATCCTGCAAAACCACTACACCTATCCATATCTTCAAATCTTTTTCTCTTCTCCAATAATCTATTTTTTTATTTTTTTTATTTCCAATATGATAAACATTCCAGTCGATATATCTAACAAGTAGTTACATACATGTGTGTATATCTATATGTACATATATATAAACTCTTTGCAGGTCTTCATTGAGTGCAAGTTTAGTATTCCAACAACTTTACGTTTTAATGTTTTCCCACATTTCCAAAGTTAACTTCTAACACAAGCAAGATTGAAGATGAAGCATATTCTGAAACAGGGTAGGCATCATCAATTTATTTATCATATCAAGATTGAAGTCAATAAGCAACAATCATAAAATAGCAATTTCTCTTCTTTTGTCTTAAAGGAGTTGACAACAGGGAATGGAAATCTATTAGTATTGGTTAAGGGCTCGCGTATGGGATATTTCAAGCTATAGACATAACCAATTATTGGGCCCCACTTTTTATGTGATCATTCTCGTATATCTCCTATCTTCATGCTTGGGCAATTTTTGCTTGAGAAGTGAAGATCCTATTAAGGGTAGCAGCCAAGCGAACCCCAGCTTGAGCTAGCCTCTTCTCCACAACAGGAAGCCGGGAAAGGAAGTATTCATCTACAAACAGAACAGAAAGTTAAAAGGTGAATCTGGAACCAAAATAGCTTTTCTGATTAAAAGTTTACACATATGATTATACGAAAAAGATTACGTGCCACATAAGCATTACGTGGCACATGCATGACTTGGCTTCAGTTATGGTAATCCTTGCCTAACATGCAGAGTTGAGCGCAAGAGCATGTAAAAATAATCAATAAGAAAATGGTAATATAAGATATAATAATGCAGTTTTTCTAATACAAGAAAAATATAAAGGGGATATCTAGTTTCTTTAGTTTGATTTGAGATGACGAAATTACCTCCCAAAGTGCTTCCTGGTGTGGCATTTCTGTAAGCAAACTTGCATGCTAAACTAATGCTCTCAGAGGCATACCTGGAAAATCAATAGCTATTTAAAGAACTTTGGTGAACAGAAAGTACGTATTAGGTATAAATACACCAGAAAAGAATATGAACTTACGGATTTGGACAAACTGTGTGATTATTTGCGCAATTTTCCCATGACGGCACATCATTAATCCAAGCATTCTATAAATAGCACCAACATTGATGAGCTTAAACTCACAATAGTTTGTACAACACGTCTACCCTATTATAGATGCAATCAATTTACCAAAAAGGTTATGTTACCAGAGTCAAAGAAATGAGAAATGACATCAAAATTTCAATTATATTACTTTTAATCGACTATATTGAGCAATCTAAACGAAACCTATTTGAAGACGGTTCTTTTGTGTTTAACTTAATATCACGTTCTGTTCTGAAATCCTGCTTCATCCTCTCTTTTCAACTTTCACTTTGAAGAAGACAGAACTGAAATAGAACTTATCAACAAAAAAAAAGAGCAACATACTGAAAGATTTTGTTGAAGGGCCTGTATCATATTTGTGAGATCCTTATTGTAGAATGTCTTCAAAGCAGATTCAATGATCATGGTATCCCATACCTGGAACAAAACCAAATCTTACAGAATCAAACATATTGACTACTTATGTTGAAACGGTGCAGGCTTTCATGGAAGTTTGAGTTCATAATCAGTCCTTACATGGTGCAGGTTTGTCTTCCTACGATACCACCGTACTATTATTGAGTTCCCACCCAGATCTCCAACAAATCCGACATGTAGGGGCTGACAAAAATACAATGCAGAGTTCAGAAAATATATGACCCTTTTTGTTTTCAATCAATCTTCCATGCACAAGACAAAGAAATAAAGAAAGAAAATATCACCAAGATGCCATGAGAAGCTACGACTTTGTGTAGCAATTCTTCTCATAATTGGTCAATAAGCATGAGAAAAAACATGACTATGGTGGTGCAAACAGAGTGCGTTACGGGAAACAAACATAAATACAGAAGTTTAATGTACAATAATTAGTGTCCTCTTGAGCACAAACGACACATCCTTCACAAATGCGTAGTCTATATACTTTAATACTGATGACTGTTTCTAACCAAACATAAACAGCCATTATTGAACTATGGTGTAAACAACTATGTTTCAGAGTATACACAACTTCATCTACAAAATCCACACTTGGATGGAAAAAAACGTTAGTCTAAAAAAATCTAGTCCATGGAAGTAATCCAACCACAATGTAATTCGATAGTAAGCCACAAACGTTTATAAACACAGTAAAATTGGATCAGGGAAAAAAAAAGTTGCAACTGTTAATTTGAATTTCAAATAGTGACTAAATAGTTTCTACCTCTTTTTGTAGTCTTAAAGTTTTAAGTAGAAAACTAAGAAAAGTTGCAACTGTTGATTTGAGTTTTAAATAGCTTGCCACTAGATAGTTTGTAATTTTTTTTTCGGTAGCCTTAAAAGTTTTAAGGAATTGTTAGGAAGAGCAAACCTGATGGACATCCCCAATAAAATGAGATAGAAACATAAGTGCTTCCGTTAAATTATCTGTAACCAACAAAAGACATAATTAGACTGAATCAGAAAATTGTTTATCAAGTATCGATATCTGTCATCCAGTTATACAGAGGTCCTCACATTTCGACTCTAAAATGGAGTCTTGATATCCCTTTGACAGTTGAGATGTATAGTTGTAAATTGCCGCAGTTACGCATCTACCTTTATGTCCATAAGAATCATGGCAATCTCCTATTATGAAGGGGACGAGAGTGAGCTTTTTTGTTTTTGGCAATAAAGCAGCAAGTATAAATATTGAGAGGACAATCTAGGGACGTTTTCCTAGGTAGTTTGCCTTAATTTATCAGCTAATCAAATTTTGATTTGTGAAGAAGCATATATAAGAGCTTTGTTTTACTTAGTTTTTAGAGAAAAAGCTTTCCAGATTTAGGCTTGTAGCTTGGTCCTAATCTCAATTTATTTTACCATTTTTAAAACGTTTCCTTATTAAATCTACTTTTCTCAGAGCCAATCAAAGATCTACACAGAACAGTTGTTCACAATGAGGCACAGGAAAACAGAGGCAATACCACAGTCAAAAAAGTACTATAGCTGTAAATTGGGAAGCTAGTAGAAAGAATTAATGAATTTGCCAAGTAATATTCGTTAGACTAGCATTGTTTAACAGAAGAAATTAAGCTAGCTACTTACTGTGGAATTCGTAGTTACACCTGAAATCTGGTGTATCAACATAATGTAAGGCACTGCTCCATCGATAATGGAATCGAATCTCATCAGGCCAAGAGCAAACCGATGCAAGATCACCCTCAGCAGAATCAGGAAGCAATCTTTTCACTGCAGCCAGAGCTTCTTCAGTCAGATATCCCTGAACCAAACAAGAACTCTCCCATTAATTCAGCGGGGGAGAAAAAAAAAAAAGAACTCTCCCATCAGTGGTAAAGATTAGATGCTCTGATCCTTTATCACCGAGAACAACATAAAGAAACGCAATCAATCACACATAAGATTTATAGCAGTTTGTTAAGCCACTGCAAAATTTCACTATAAGGAAAACCAAAAAAAAAAACAATATATATATATATATATAAGACTCTCTATTTCCCTCTAACCTAATTCTCAAAATCAGTGCCCCCCAATAGAGGTAAAACCAGGGAACACGAACATACATGTGCGAAAACATCACATTCTTGCGCTAACTCTACATCATGGAGATAATTAGTCTTCATAGACTCAACAATCAGAAATCTATTTGTTATCAGAAATTGATTGCGAAACCCACAATACACCTTTCCTCAAATGCAAGTTGAAGCACATCCCATAACCCAGTAGATGATCTCCTATGAAACGAAATTAGCAAAACACCATTTCTACTCCAAATTAAGCATAAAACCCAAATGGCCCATCACAATTAGTCCTATGAAACCAAAACAGAAAGTGGATTAAAAATCATTCCTTTTTCTTTGGCCTCCATCAAATCAGTCCCTAGTAACGTCATTCTTCAAAATTATCAAAAGATAAATAAATGAACAAATAAAATCACACACACAAACGTTTAAGAGAAACTTACCTCTGCAATCTTACACGTTGCATAGTGGCCTTCCTTTCCCCACCCCAGAATTCCAGGTATCAATACCAGAAAAACAAGTTCTACCCAGGTCAACCATAGCCTAGATCTGTTCATATCTGAAAACAAAAACTTGAAATTTTCAGTGACGAGTCAAACTTAATCCATTGCGAGATTTGAAATATTCAGGTAAATGTGCAGGCTTTTTACTCATTTCTCCGTAATTCAAAAGTCAAAAGACTTTCATTTGAAATTGGGATTTCTTCTCTCTTCACTAAAATAGTTTCCCAGCGACGAGAGTTAGACTGTGGGGATAAAAGTGGAAGGATTACGGCGTGGCAAGGACGTAAAATATGAGAAATAAGAGCATGTTGTGTTTGGTTCTTTTGGTAAAATTGGAGGGAAAGAAAATACAGGAATATGTTATACTTCTTTTTCCTCAACCAGAAGGATAATAGGTACTTTTTCTTTGTTGTTTTTTCTTTAATAGGATGATAATTAATTGGACGGGAAATTAGAATGAATTAGGTATGCTTCATGAGTAAGGAAATATATTATGTTCATGTTCATTTCACTGATTCGAGTTTTGTTATAATAAAAAACTATCAGAAACAGTCATATTTAACTTTTTTGTTACAGTAAAAAGCTCTCAATCACATCTAAACTCAAATTAAAAACTCGAATCAACGAACTAAACGGATTTATGTTTCTTTTTCGTTCTTTTGTTTTTAGAATAAGTAAAGGTATACTTTTTTTTCATCATTAGTAAATGTATGCTTTCATTTTAAGTTTGTTATTTTTATTTTCCGTTGGTTAAAAAGGGGATCGGGTGGTATACCTCATGCTTTCATTCACACGGCGGGGTATGCCCAAGAAACACGGGACCATCGAGGAGTGATAAAGGCTTAAACTATTCTTCCAGTAACTATCTACATAGTTTTCACTTTTCCTACTTATGACGGACCCTACAAGGATTTCTCAAAAGCGTTGGACAACCTTTAGCCGATATGGAGACTCAAACCTTGAATAAATGAGCAGAGAAGGCCTACCAAAATCGTCCTTACTATTAGACCACGACGGTCGATGGTAAATTTATTGTTGTTTAAACTTTAAGTCAGCTTTGCTAAATAATATAGACGGGATTTTAGTACAATTATCTTATGAACATGTGATTTGAAAAACTCTAAAACGATCAGGTGGTCCATCGTACTTAAAAATTTCCATCATTTATTCGATAAATTAAATGTCGTTTGCTAAAAAAAAAACAAAAATTTCGTTTGTCGTCTTTTTTTTTTTAAAGGATATAGTTTCTTCAATAAACGACAAAAAGTTTTGCTTATATCGTTTTTGTTAAAAAGAAAAATATAAGAGGACGTTTGTTTCGTTACTAACTAAGGCATCGTTCATTTATCCTATTCGAGTTTAGAATTTGAGTTTTACTACAGTAAAAAGCTCTCAGAAACAGTCACATTTAACTTTTTGCTATAGTGAAAAGCTCTCACATAAAATCACATATTAACTCGAATTAAAAACTCGAATCAGTGAACTAAACGGGCCCAAAACGTCCTCTAAGTTTGAGTTTACAATCTTGTTCTTGATTTGAAATTAGTGTCGTTTGCCTACGCAAGACTTACGACATATCGTTTTATGCGAAGAAACCTGCACAAGTGAAGACGTTGAAAATGATACAATTGTTAGATTTTTAGATTTTCAAGGAAAAAACAAAAACAAAAAACAAAAAACAAAAAAAAAGAGAAAAACAAAAACAAAATGGGCATCGAGTAGACAAGTACTAGAAAAGGAACTGTCGTAAACGAAGCGAAGTTAAGGTTAAGATCGTTGATGAGAAAACGATGAAAGCAATAGTGATAACCTCCCCCGGCGGACCCGAAGTTCTGCAACTTCAGGAAGTAGAAGACCCTCAGCTCAACGACGACGAGGTCCTCATAAAGGTCGAAGCCACCGCCCTCAACCGAGCCGATACCCTTCAGAGGAAGGGCTCCTACCCTCCCCCCAAAGGCGCCAGCCCCTACCTCGGCCTCGAATGTTCTGGAACCATCCAAGCCGTCGGCAAAAATGTCTCCCGCTGGAACGTCGGCGACCAGGTTCTTTCAATTTCTTTTCTTTTCTTTTCTTTTTTGGCTCGTTTTTTGTCAATCGGAAGTTCGAGGAAGATGAAAATTCGGGCTCGATTCGTCAATTCGTAATCTTGATCAGAATTTTCTCAATCGAATTCGGGAACTCGAACGATTAGAAAACGTTTTTTCAAAATGGCGAGTACCAACATGAAAATGAGAACTTCATGGGGACAGTGCTGGGATTGATTCTGAAATTACGTTTGGTTATTATTTTTAAAGATTGTTTGAAAGTGGAATTGTATTTGTGTATACTTTTGGAAACGTGTATTAAGTTGTAGTTAGAAAATGAGAACATTTCAACTATTTTTTATGTTCTTAACAAAAACTATTCTCACTACTTTTGTTTTCGTTCTTGTTTTCAAAGCATTTACTAATTGAACGCTGCTTAGGGATCGTTTTCGTTTTCGTTTTCGTGCCTTAAAAACATGTAAATTTTTTTTCAGAAACATAAAAAAAAAATACCAAAACGCACCCTATTTATGTATATGTATATGTATATGTATATGTATATCGGTCTCAATTCGACCTTTTTTATTTTGAGAGTAGAAATTTTAATGGCTGCAAAATTAGGGACTGAGAATGTTATGGTGGAATAGGTGTGTGCTCTTCTGAGTGGGGGAGGGTATGCGGAGAAGGTGGCAGTGAGTGCTGGGCAAGTTCTTCCAGTGCCACCGGGCGTTTCTCTTGTGGAAGCTGCCAGTCTCCCGGAGGTCGCTTGCACTGTTTGGTCAACTGTTTTCATGACCAGTCGTCTCTCTGCCGGCGAATCATTTTTGGTAAATCTTTCAGTTCACCTTTATCTTCTCATGCATGACTTTACAATACAGTGATATTACCAACTACTCAATTATTGTAGTGATTGAACTATTACATGATTTGTGCAACACGTGTTATGATTTTGTGATTGTTGTAATGAGTGAAATGTCTGGTCTGGATGTCGCTGAGTATTATAAGATATTAAGATGTGATTTTTATTTTTACCGCATGTAACCTAAGGCGTTGTTTGGTAGGAGGGAAAAGGGTAAAGGGGGAAAAAGATGGGAGGATTAGTGGATAGATTTTGAAATTTAGGGTTGTTTGGTCGGAGGGAAAAGTGAAAAGGAGGATAGGGATAGGAGGATTAGTTGATAGATTTTGAAATTTAGGGTTGTTCAATAGGAGGGAATAGATTGCGTGAGGAGTTCAAACCTCAACAAAACTTCAATTTTGATACTTCCGAAATTGGGAGGATCGGAGGAGGGAATCCAAGCCAATCACAATAAGAGAAAGGTCCCTTCTTTTTTATTTTCCTTGTTTCTTATCAGACAGCCTAAACGATAAAATTCCATCACCATGACTTTGCATTGCTTTACCTGCATGGCATGAGGTTTCTTATACCACCAACTATTTTGAAAATTCAGGTCCATGGGGGATCTAGTGGCATTGGTACGTTTGCGATTCAGATTGCAAAATACCGGGGTGCAAGAGTATTTGTAACAGCAGGTCTAGCTGAACTCCTTTAGTATTTATGATATCATGACATAGTGCAGTTTCCGTGTATTCATATACTAGGATCTTAATCTCCAGGTAGCGAGGAGAAATTAGCTTTCTGCAAGAATCTTGGTGCTGATGTTTGTATCAATTATAAGACGGAGGACTTTGTTGCAAGAGTAAAGGAAGAAACCGGAGGGAAAGGTATTTTCTAATTGTTAGAAGGGCTAATGTTTCTGTGACTTCTGTTTCCAGTTATGTCATTAAAAAAAAAACGACTAACACATGTCAAAATGGTAGGTGTTGATGTTATTTTGGATAGCATTGGAGCATCCTATTTCAAAAGAAATCTCGAGAGCTTGAATTATGATGGTAGGCTTTTTATAATTGGCACCATGGGAGGAGCAGTTACAGAACTAAATCTCGGTTCTTTGCTTTTAAAGCGCCTTACTGTGCAAGGTATTACAGTTTATCTTGAGATTGGTACTGTGTATTTGGAGTTCGCTGTATTTTGGTTTCTCTCACCATAATGATTTCCTTGTTTTCTCTCCTTTCCCTTATTGAATATTATAACCCTTTGGTGGTTGTGTCTGATTTTTGATTCAGCGGCCGGCTTGCGTAGTAGAACTCCAGAAAACAAAGCAGTAATTGTTAGAGAAGTGGAGGAGAATGTTTGGCCTGCTATTGTGGCTGGTAAGGTGAAACCTGTGGTCTACAAATCTTTCCCGTTATCTGATGCTGGAGAGGCTCACAGGCTCATGGAGAGTAGCAACCACATAGGAAAAATACTGCTTGTTCCATGATTTCCATGGCTGGTTTGTACTTATGGCAATGCTTGCTTTAAGTTTAGACTGTAATGTAAGACCAATGAAAGTTGGAAATAAATGCCATTTTGTACGTAAATTCTAGCTTGAATGCCTTCCCAACATGGTCAGATATTGCCCAACATGAATGGAAACTATGCTAAATGATACATATTATCACCGATCAGATATGTTTCTGATGCTTAAAAGGGTATTGAAATTATTCAAGTTGTGAAGATGCAGGGACTTGATATGGAACCACATTGAAGCAGGTGAAACTGTTAGAAAATTGAAATCCACATGTTTCCTTTTATTTATTTATTTATTTTCTTTTTAATTCATACTTCTTTAAAAGAGAGCGAATCATGTTTGTTTTGTAGGTTTAAATCACTTTTTAAACCTTTTTGTTATAATGTGTTAATTTTTGTTCAATTTTTTTTGTTCAACTTAAACCTATGAATTAATCAACGCGCATAGCATTCCTCCAATTTAATTAAATTAATGGGACAGATTAGTGGGACAACTACCGCCCCATCCATTCCCACATGGACTTCTAAGCATTTGTTAAATAATAATTAAAAAAAGTTCAAGAAAATGCTAAACAGCAGGAAGGGATTAGTGTTCTTATTATCATTTCTGTCTAATAATCTTTTAATGCTAAAAAGTGAGTTTGGTTGGCAGTCAGTTTAGTTGGAAATTAGGAATGGGGTGGGGTCCCATTAAGGATTTTTTTTTTTTTTTTATATATATATATAGAGATTTTTAACTCTTTTTTTTTTCAAATTCCGAACTTTTTTTATAGAGATTTTTAACTTTATTTTCAAATTCCGATTTTATTTATTTTATTTAATAGGATATTTCAAGGAGCATCGAAACAACTCTTCTAGATAATTATTATAAAATAAAAAAGTATTCATATCTTCATAAGAAAGCATTGATTTTGGTCAGCATACGAAAAGAAAACGGGGACAAGATGGTCAACATTGCGATGCTCCTCAACCTAAGCAAAAATAAAAAATGAAAGAGAGTTTCTCTAATAAAATAAGAAAAATTAAGCAACTGATTATTTTTTATTTTCAGTCTTTAAATTTGTATCACAAATTATTTATTATGTATATTTTTTTAATCTAATATTATTTTAATTCAATGGTCTAAATCTAATGGTTGAAATTGATCTTATTAATAGAGAGGTCTTATTAGAAAAACTCTTCATATAATTAGTTTTTTGTCCGTTAAATTTGATTAAAATTAAATGAAATTAAAAAAATATGTAAAACAGACAGTTTTTTATACAAATCTGTTAACTGAAAACGGCTAAAAAAATAGACTACTACTCTGCTAGTAGTTCAATTTTTCTAATACTACAAGAGAAACTCCTAAATAAAAATTACAAAAATAATTTTTTTTTAAATTAGAGAGATTCTCTGATACGTTTGGCGTATCAATAGAGGTCTCATTCATTTCACTGATTCGAGTTTAGAATTCAAGTTTTACTACAGTAAAAAATTTTAAAAAATAATCACATTTAACTTTTTTGCTACAGTAAAAAGTATTCACATAAAATTACATCTTAACTCAAATTAAAAATTTAAATCAGCAAACTAAACGGATCCTAAATTTTTTTAACCGTTAAATTTGTGTACTTTTTAATTTGTACGTAATTTTATACTAATATATACAATAGAAAACTTATCAATATATTGGCCTGCTTGAAAATGTCCCTTTAAATTATTATATTTTGCCCTTAAAAATAATTATTGTACTCGAAAAGAGAGAGAAAAAATCAGGACGACTATACATCGGACGACAACGATGGCATTGGGTCCCAATCAACGACTTGGCCAAATCTGGTTCGTCCATCAACTTCCCAGTTCAAAAGCAAAGTCAAATTCGGCGATCAAAATCCAAGCTCTATCGTGTTCCGCTCTTCCTGAACCTGGGAGTCATTGGATCCACTCGTATCAGACGCTGTTGTGACTCGGTGAGTTTACTCTTAAACTCGCAGTAATGGACGCTTCTTCTAAGTTTTCATTTTCTGAAACTTACTTCGACTGTTTCAGCTGAATTTTCTCTCCAAATCTGCAAATTTTTAGGTGATTTCAAAATTTTTTGGAAGACTTTCGCTCACTTCACTTGGTTCTGTTCTCTGAATTAATGAACTTTTGATTTTTCATATTCTTTCATTTACACGGTTTGATGTTTTCTAAAGCTTCAGTTCTTTCTCTATGTATCTGCAAATGACACTTCAAATATGGAACGTCATGCTTATCAGATGATTAGAATGTAGAAGCTGTATTATGTCAATTCTTTTTATCCGTTGGGGTTTTTAGAGGGAATAACTAGTATTTTGCAATATATTCTTGTCTATTTTGTGCAACATATTTGTTGTTTGTGGCTAAAATCTTTATTGTTCCTTCAGATTAATGGTCTACAACAATGAAAGTTGAAAAAATTTTATTTAGTTATTATAAGTTAGGTATTTTAAAAGCAAGTAATCAACTGATTATAAATTCTGTTATCTATTCTGAATGAGGTTTAGAAGATAATGGCCCCGTTTGTTTTGCTCGTTCGAGCTGAGAACTTAGATTAAAAAGTGAAGTCATGTGCGAGAAAATAGCAGAAAATGTTGAATTTGAATTTTTGTGAGAGAAAACATAATAGTAAAAACTTGAGTTATAATTCGAACTAGCGGAACGAACGGAGCCAATATTATTTTGATTTTCTAGTGATTGGGATTTGGCTAAATGTTTTAGTTTATCACGTTAGAGTTGAGGAATACTATAGGTCCTGAAGAAAATCTTGCACAACTCTTTGGCAGGTTCTGAGTTTGGTACTCATCTTTCTGCTAAACAATGGACTTCAGTTCAATGAGCCGCGGTCAAATTACCATGATGGGATCTGGATTTTGCGTGCTGGCTTCGATGCATTTCACCGTCCAGTTGCTATCACAACATCTGTTTTACTGGAAGAATCCGAAAGAGCAGAAGGCGATAATAATTATAATTCTTATGGCTCCATTGTATGCAATTGTCTCATTTGTTGGTTTACTGGACATCCAGGGAAGCAAAGTATTTTTCACGTTTTTGGAATCCGTCAAGGAGTGCTATGAGGCTCTTGTGAGTGCCACCACCTGAGTCTTACTTGGGTTTGACCATTTGCCTATGTTGGTTTTGCAAACGGTTTCTCACCTCACAGTTTTCTTTGTCCAGGTGATCGCGAAATTCATAGCTCTGATGTATAGTTATCTGAATATATCCATTAGTAAAAACATAGTGCCTGATGGCATCAAAGGAAGAGAGATTCACCATTCCTTTCCGATGACTCTGTTTCAGGTAAGGAGTTAGCTTTATAGTATTAAATTCAAATTCCAAGTTAATAAGAAAATAAGTTAGGTGTTGCAAACTACTTCAATTGACTTCTTTCTAATATCTTGAGCAAAACATGATTGTTTTATTTCCACATGTTTGTGTATAATTATTGATTATATGATATGCCATTGACTTTGCTGAAGCATGACCACATTGGATCTGGATGCAAATAACAATTGAGGGGAAAAAAAAAATTGGAAGCATTGTTGCAAAATTTTCTGCAACCGCACGGATTGCAAAAGTAATAAAGTGACTAAAAAGTCGAATATCGTCCCACAAGGATTGAATTTTCGAGAATTAAACTAAGTACCGTGAGTGTTCGTGACTAAATTTTATCTAGGCGGCCGAAATCGAGTGAATTAAGTAATTGAAGCAAGAAAAGTAAATTAATCGAACTATTAAAGCTAGAACACAAGATCTAACAAAATAAGTAACTAAATATCGAAACTATGAGTGGAAATAAAAATAATAATGGAGTTCTAGGGTCTTGACTTCGCTTGCTCTCGTGGTTGCTAATTAATTTAACTCAATTCATTAATCTAAGGTTTCTAAATTAGTCTCACTACCTCTCCCAAGCGTCAAGTAAGACAACATGTGCAAATAAAGAAGCTAATGTCCCTATCTAACTTGGGTATAAACACATTCATTAAGTTCAACCTTTCAATGATTATCTAAGCATTTGATCACCTCCCGGTCTCACAATTACCAAGATTCTCATAACGATTACCTACGTGTTGATCACCTCCCGATCTCACAACAACATTAGATTGTGCTTCCCTATACCGATATTCGAACTAATCTCTCCCAAGCATCAACCTAAATATCATAGAAACTAGTCTATTTTCCAATCAACTAGGGGTATTAAGTTCAAGAGAAACACAAATGATTGAGTCAAGATTTCACTAACAACCAACTAAATATTCTCAACATAGTTCAAGCTAGCTACATGAAGGCCCTAGATTAGAAATCTAGCCATACATGGTCAAATCCATAAGCACAATCATCATGAAAATCATAAAAGCAACCATGTTGTCACAATATCACAATTACATCAAAATAAAAAGAGTAGAGATTAAGAGGAAACTATAAGAGAGTGGACTTCAAGGCTTCAATCTTCAAGAATTTTTCAAGATGTCTCCAAGAAAAATCCTCCAATTTTCAGCCTCCAAGCTCTCTCTTGTTCTTGAAGTTTGTGCCTCCAATCTTTCTTGATAAGTGTGCCTCTCAAAATTAGGGTTTTTGTGGTTTAGTGTTCTCTCACATCACCTCCAAAGGAGCAATCTCAGCCATCCAAATCAGATCAAGGGCCAAAAATGACCCAAACTTCAATCAGCTTAGAGAGGAAGCGCAACCGCACAATGAGTGGTGTGGGCGCGTGCCTTGCGCGGCGCGCCTGCGCGGCGCGCCTGCGCGGTCCATTCTGCTGAGGGCACTGTGCGCCCCTCTTGATGGTACGTCCGCGCCATTATGTTGCGCGGGCGTGCGCCTCTTGCTGCCAGGAAGGGGCCATTGTGCCCCTTTTTGCTTGGTTTGCTCCAAATTTTGATCCAAATTGCCACTAAGTTTAATTTTCTCCATTTTGCTACGAAATGCTCAAAAACACATCAAAATAAAAACAATGCTTGAGAATTAAACAAATAATTAACCTTAGAAGCATTTGATTTGTGAGTAGAACACTCACTCATCAAGCATCATTTACATGTAGCAATTGACGGTGCTTTCTTGCAAACTGCAGCCGCATACAGTCCGGCTGGATCACCATACTCTGAAGCTTTTGAAGTATTGGACATGGCAATTTGTCATCATCCGGCCAGTTTGTTCCATCTTGATGATAACATTACAATTACTTGGATTTTACCCGAGCTGGCTGAGCTGGACATTCACCATCATTCTCAATATTTCAGTTTCATTGGCCTTGTACTCTCTGGTGGTATTTTACCATGTTTTTGCCAAGGAATTGGCACCGCATAAGCCACTTGCAAAGTTCCTGTGCATCAAGGGGATTGTCTTCTTCTGCTTTTGGCAGGTAAAATAATTTTTAAACTTATTTAAACTCCAAAAAAACATGAATTCAATATGTATAACATCTTGTGCATGAGCGGTATTTGGCTTAAAGAATCATAGACCCCACTAGTTCTTGGTTGTCTGTGAGCATCCTTGGTGTTGCATTTTGTAATAGATGGATTGCTGGTTTCTGGCCTTTTTCGGAAACCTCCTGATAATCGATATAAACACCATCACAATGAGGATGTCTTTATGGTGACAAATGATCATCTTTGATTGCAGGGAATAGTGCTCGACTTACTAGTCGAAACGGGCATCATCCGATCTCACCATTTCTGGTTAGACGTAGAACACATTGAGGAAGCTATTCAGAATGTCTTGGTATGTCTGGAGATGGTTTGTTTCTCTGTCATCCAGCAGTACGCTTACCACGCTTCTCCTTATAGTGGAGATGTTGAAACAAAGCTGTTTAATAGAAAGAAGAATGAATGATGCGAATAAACCCAGTAATAAGATTGAGAACCATACAAGTCAGAATTGGTTTTTGTTCAAGGATGAACTTGGTTCATTTTGTGTATTACGTATTCTAGTATTAACATTTACCTTTTCTGTTATGAGTTACTACTACTACCGTTGTAGCCCGCTAGGCTTGTACCAATAAATATATTATTGATATAAACTATTGAGTATAATGTGGTTTGCTTTGTGGCACTGAATGTGGTTTGTGTTGTGAAACAATCAAAAGTTTGCGAGTAATTATAGCTTACAAGAGTTACGAGAGTTTAAAAAGAGTTGATACAATATTGTAAATTTCTCTCATTTCTAAACATAAAAAAACTGTACATTACTTGAATGAAAATAATTGCAATTAACATTGAAGCTAAGCTTCATCTTTTTTGAATATGTTAATCCTGAGACTCAATTGTTTGCTCATGCATATAAAAAATAAGATTTTATCACCGGTGACTCTTATCCTTCAAAGTTTAAGAACTCTTCACTCTCTAAATTTTAAATTGTTCTCATTTAATCTCATTTATTATAATTTTTGTTATAAATAAATAAAAAAAAAGAAAAATAATGCAGTTAAATAGTCTTTTTGTTTGAATTTCTGTTAAAAGTAAATAAATAAAAATTACATAACTGTACTTAACCTCCTCTTTTTTCCTCTTATTTCGACAGAAATTCTTATAAAATGACTTAAATAGGTTAAATTTAAAACTCATAATAAATTGAGAGTTTTTAAATTTCTAAAAATAAAGTGAGAATAACCAAAAAAAATTAAAAGCAGCATTAAAAAATATAATGTCATTGTAAGTGTTACCATACTGAAAAATCTATTTGACGTGAATTATGAATATGCGAAATATGTCAACGAACCATAATCATTATAATAATAGAATGTATTATAACATTATAGAAAAAAATATCCGATTCGAAAAACTACTTCACGGCTCACACGTACAATGAAAATGGCGAGAGCAATTATATGAGAAGAATACAAAACAGATTAAAATTCGAAAATTGTGTTAAAGGTGAATATTGAATGCATCCATATTTAGTTCTCTAATAAAATCTGTCCCGAAATATCATCATTAGTTTAAAAAAAGAAAAAGAAAAGGGAAAGTAGTTAATAAATACTTAAAAGTCAACAAAGGGTTTATCAGTCAAAAGATTAAATTCAAAAAATCAGCCATATATGTGATATGAAATCCCAATCAGCCATAGACGTCTCACAATTCAAAAACAAAGCCATTTTGTGTAATTGTTTTTAAAGAAATAAAAGGGAAAAAAAAAGAAGCAAGATGCACAAGTCATTTTACAGAGTTGCTTATGAGAATCAACACTGGACACGGGGCTTATAAATTGGGCGGGTTTTTATTAGAATTGCTCTTGAATTTATTGTGATTTAGAAAATTGTCCCTAAATTTTAAATTTTGATAATTAATCATTTGAATTTGTAGATTATTACAATGTTCTTGATTTCGTTAAAATTTGCTCAAATTTTTTATTATATTTAAAAGATTAAAAGTTAAAAAATTAAAAAATTTGTATTGAGATGTTAGAATTTTTCGTCAAACATGTTTTTTTGACACTAATTTAATAATTATCATCAAAATGAGACATATTATAACAATTTTACAAATTAAAGAGGTAATTTATCAAAATTAAAAATTTAAATGACAATTTACTAAAACTATAGAAGTTCAGAGAGATAATGTGTAAAATACATAATTTGGGAATATATGACTTTCCTACGTACAATGTACATTGAATCAAATTAAATTTTAACTAGTCTTACTTTTTCAAAATAAATAAATAAATAACTAGTCCCATCACAATTTTTTTTAACAAAAATGGATATTATTAGTGCTAAACAACACCACTAATAAAAAGTAAAGTTCATATTATGAGACTCACATTTTATTAGTGTGTGTTGTGTCTAATAGTATTACTCTTTTTTAAAATTTAAAAACTCATTTATTTCATCAATTTAAATTTTCAATTCCAGTTTTGTTACAGTTAAAAACTCTCATAAAAAATTACATCTAACTTTTTTTACTGCAGTAAAAAATTCTCACATAAAATTATATCTCAACACAAATTCATCAACTGAACGAGACCAAATCATACTTTTAACAAAAAGAAAAAAAAAAAATTCAATTCCGCACTTGGATTCCTCTATAGAATGAATGAATGATAGTGATAGTAGTCAGTAGTCACTAATCCTGAGTCACTAGAGAACCCAAGCGTTGCTTTCCTTTTGCTCTCCCAAACGTCGCCGTGGACGACTTTGAAGAACCAATCAATATAATGGTCGCCGTTGAAGAAGAAGAAGAAGGATATGATCGAAGAGAGAAATGGGTAAAACACTATTCCTCAAATCATCGAATACTGTTAGTGGGTGACGGAGATTTCTCTTTCTTGTTAGTCAATATCACTTACACTAAAAATTAAAAGAGAAAGTTAGAGAGAGAAAAGAAGAAGAGAGAGGGCACTAAAAATAGTGTTGATTTTAAAAAGTGATGTTTACAGTGAGTTCATGTGTAAAAAAAGAGAGACAAAGACTATAAATACATGTCTTTTCTCATTTATTTTACATCTTAAAAATTGAGAGCTTCTAGTTCTCCCTCGTAAGTTTGTAAGAAATTCTTTAAATTTTTAATTTGTGAATTTTTGTCCAATTTGTAATATTACTTTTCTTTAGTAAATAGAGTGGTCAACATTACTTATAAACTTGGATAATATTTGGCCGAATTTTGTTATCAATTCTGATATTTTTTTATTTATTTTCAATATCCAATAGTTATTCTGTCGGATTTGTCCGCTGTATATAATATTATTCATCCATTTGGTACTTTTTACATATATGATACTATTCACGTATACGGTATTATTTATAAGTATTATTCACAATAAAATTATTTTTGAGTGAAAAATACTTGATTTTTCTCTGATTATACTATATTATTTACATATACGATACTATTTATGTATACAATACTATTTATAAATACGGTTCACAGTGAAGTTATTTTTTAATGGAAAATACCCGATGTCCTCAACATTTCTCTCTGTGCTTGAGACTCGCTCTTTCACCTCCGCTTCTAGCTTAGTCGTCACTTCTCTAGACCGCTACGGTATTACTTTTATCTACCATTTTTTCCCTTGGTTTTGTGATCGTATTGAAGAAAAAGTAAAGGGTTTTTTTTTTTTTTGAACGTTTCTCATTTTTAAGCATTTTGTGTTGTTTGCTTTATGATCAAGAATGTGACTTTTCTCTCTCTTTTTTTTTTTGGATTCGTAACTTTTTCGTGGTTTCTGATTAATTCTTTGCAATGGATAAAATGGAATGGAAGTAATATAAACCTTTATTTGAAGTGTAAAATTATTGAGAGACAAAAAAAAAAAAAAAGCTGAAAAGAGGTTGGAGTATAGAATGAGTGTTAAACTTTGCTTTGGAGTTTGTATGTATCATTTTGCTGGGAATGTATGTTGAGATTCATGAGTAGTTATCATTAAATATATTAATTTAATTATGTGATGTAATAAAAATTTAATATTATTATTTTCATTTTTTTATTAATTATTTAATTTATTATAACTGTCAGATTCATATCTTACGGTTAAACTATTAGTGTGACTATTAAAACCACACCAACGTGAGAAACTGTTGGTGTCAAGAACTCTTTTCCTATGACATCACAACAACTCAACAAAATACAATGCGTCCTTCCAATCTGATTGATAAGAGTTATAATCAGAGATAAGAAGACCTTAGTTATTACAATATAGCGTGTGACATGAGACTTGATAATTGAACTGACTTGCAAGTGTAGCAAAATAGTGTGTCCAAGGATTTTTCGGACAAATTCTGGGTAAGAAGACATTCAACGTGAAAGCAATGGTGTCCATTGAATGATATTTTTTCGACTGAAATTTTATAGCCTCCTACGAACCAAAGTAATCATCACTAATCATACTAATTAATTCAATGAGTGTAAAATACTTAAAGTTTGTCAGTACCGTATCCAGCCAGATGGACGAGGTAATTACGTCATTTGTGCATGAAATCTTGTATATTGGTAAGAATGTCCATCGAATCTGTCAATCCATTTGATTCGCATAATCTAATTTAATTTGACGGATTGAATTGAAAGAATTTTATATTGATAATGGATTGAAATTTTGTCAATTCGTAATGACATATTGGATTAATTCCCATAATCCAATTCGTGAACGCTCTTGTATATCGGATTTTAGACGATATCACCAGTTATGTTGAATTTTAGGTTTCTTTTTTTTTCGGCTTCAATTTTTGTTGGTTCTGTAACTCCTTTTGCATAAAAAGAAAATGGAATTCAGAATATGTAAATGTTTGTCTTTTTTTATTTCTTAAAACTTAGAGGATGCAAGTGGTAAAGAGGCTTATAATGAGGAACACGATGTCTATTGAAAAAATAATAATAATAAGAAGAAGAACAATTTGTGTATGATATTAAAGAACAAATTGTGGTTAGAGAATAAGCAGGACATTTGCAAATACGTTGGCTTTTTCTTTTGGTTTGTAGCTTTATTTTAGCATACACAAGATCTCAAATACATTATTCTGCCTCATTATGTTGTAAAGATTGGAATGCTAGTTCACATAGACTTGTAGTGCAAGAAGATGCAATATTAATTTTAGAGATAAAAAAAGGGGGAAAATAAGGAAGAAAAACATTAACCATAGTAAACAAAGCTGTTTGTATATGAAGTGACATGAACAAGGCTTCCCTTCGTCTTGGGTTAGACAAGCACGTAATTGGGCCCTTTAGAGCCCAATAACATTTGAATCTGTGTGTTTGATGGTCGGGAGAAAGAGAAAAATAGGTCAAGACTTAAGATGAATTAAAACTAATAGGCCAATAGTTTACATGAGTTAATAAATAGGCCAAATTACTGTTTTCGTCCATAACTTTTCTGGTTATGAACCATAACTTGTTTGGTTATGAATCATAACTTGACAAGTTATTGTCCATAACTTATCTGGTTATGAACTATAACTTGGCAAGTTTGTCCATAATTTATCTGGTTATGAACCATAACTAGACAAGTTATGGCCAATTAATTTCTATAACTAAAAATTGGCTTATATACTTTCTTAAGCTTTTTATATTAGCCTATTTCTTACTATTTTCGTTTATAGTTTTCG